CATAGCACGGTTTATTTAGCGTTAGAACTTCCTTCATTCTTTTTACAACTATAAGGTTCTCATTCATGATTCGATGTGACTGGAAGCAGGGTGATGCTGTCAGTTTTAGGAGGTCGTCTTTTGAGGACACTAATTTTACATCAACTCTTTTCCTAAGATTTTCCATTGTTTTTCCATAGATTGAATTATTCATTAACTTGAAGAAGTTCTTTTCGAACGTGTTACGAGCTACTGATCTTTTCTTCGTATTGAAGTCAATATAGTTCTTAAGCCAGGGAGACTGTTTAAATGTAACCGCTCTATGAACCCTTGTGAGTTTCATTCCAAGGTCTGTGTAGAGTTTTAGATTACGTACATGTAAGACGTAGTTCTTTCTGGGTCCTAGTGAGTTTACCAGTTTTCTTACTCCTCCAATTGTCAGCTGGAATTTCTCAGCAATACTCTTCGCATAATCTGACAACATAGAAGCACTAATTTCTTTACTCTCTGGTGCTAGAGGATAACCGTTATGTAAGTCGTGAAGTTCTTGTGGATATTGCAGGTCAACCTCTAAAACGATCCCTCTTTCGTTGTCTCCTAGGTAATCATCTAGATTCATACCATCAACTTCCTCGACCCACTCAAACTCTCCATTAGGTAGTGGTTGTGACATCGCCCAGCCATATAAATTGTTAGCGTCGAGGTACATAAGGTACTTGTTTTCTAACGACTCATCATACGTCTCCATGTACTGATTATTGGCTGTTAAGTGTCTATGAGCAATATGACTTATACCACCTCTCATTCCCTTCTCGAAGAACTGAAACACGTCCATATCACTTACAAGTTCTATTTCCTCACCTGACTGTTTCAAGAAGGCGTCCCAACTTAGACTAGGTGCTGACATGTAATGTGCAGGGTCAAGTTTGTAATTTTTATTTATTTATTTATTTATTTATTAAACTTTGCCAAAAACACTTAACAGAACAGCAAATAGACATCTACACAATAAACATGGACAAAAATGGCAGGGACACCACAACAGTGTAAACCAATTACTGTGGGCCCTATACAAAAATACACATACAGTACAGAACATATAACATACAGTACATGGACAGGAGACTAAAAACAACAAGTTAGTTCAGAACGTAAGTAACGACTAGTGTTACACTTCAGACAAATAGTCTTCCATGTCCTCGGATCTTCTTCGTCGAAGCATTCTCTCAGGGCTGTCAGGTAGTAAGTTTGTAAATCGGTTTTGAATTGCCTAATATTAATGTCAGGAGATCTTAGTGTAGTTGGTAAAGAGTTCCAAGTTCTGGATGTACGAATAAAGAAGGAGCGTTGGTAGGTAGAGGTTTTGCATTTGGCCGGACGGAAGGAGATTTGGTTGCCACTGGAGGATCTGGTCGTTCTGGTTTGGGACATGACTTCGGGGAGGACGTCATGGGACACGTCGACCAAGCCGTTCACCGCTTTGAAAAAGAACACGAGATCCAAGTATTCATGCCAGTAAGATAGCGGTAAGAGACCCAGACTGGCAAGTCGTTCCCGATAAGTCTCACTGCACAAGTACGGAAGGTTTAAAATGTACTTCGTTGCTCTTCTTTGGACCCGTTCCATACGTTGGATGAGGGTCACGGTTTGAGGCGACCAAACCTGGCTCGAGTAACCAAAAACCGACCGAACCAAAGACAGATACAGAGTCCGGCGGGTCCTCGCGTCGCTTATTTCCCCAGAACATCGCTTTATAAATCCAAGGAGTTTGTTGGCACGGGTACACCGGTCTAAAATGTGTTTAGACCAGGTTAGATCCAGACATGTTCCAGACATGTTCTCCTGAAGTTTTCAAATACATCGGCTAACAAAAGAACGTCAGTCTCTAGGTAGAGATCGTGGTAGTCTCTCATGGTTTTCATCCTAAAGTGATCCCATACTTTCCTAGCTCTTTGGTAATCTTCTTCCTTCACCTCTGACTCATACAGTGATGAGTAAAACTTATCTCTACTAGGAAGACCCTCTGTATTGAGTTTACTAATGTCATCCAGAAATTCATATGGAAAGACTCCTTTTTGTGTTACTAAATTGAAGTCCTCACCTTCCACCTCTTACCTACTATTTTAAAGTCCTCAGGTGAAAGGTTACTCACCAGTGCTTCTAGTGAAGAAGCCATAAACTGTATAGAGTCTATGAAGACAAGATTTTTACCCAGTGTGAATGAAATATATTTTTCCATATTATTTGGGATCACGTTAATGTTCATCTTGAACTTACCAATTTCCTGCATAATTAGATGACTATCATAACCTCTCAGATTGTGGAAGACCACAGGTACTTTCCATGTAATTCTGTATTTCAGGTTGCATATATTATGAGCAGCTCCACGGTACATTCCTGTTACATGATCATGGTCCCTTACTCTATCCTCACCAAGATCGTTACCACATATTGAACAGTTTCTTGCCTTCCAGAACTCAGCTTCTTCTTCAGGTGTAATTACCATCTTTTTCTTGAATATACTGTTGACCATTTCTCTACATCTTAAAGACTCTATTAATACAGTCTTTAGAAATACCAGTGCAGCATCTTCTCTAACGTAACTCTTATACTCACCAGAGTACTTATCATCATAATGGCAGACAGTCTTTAGACCAAAACTACAAGCCTTGTGTGTCTGATAAAGGTCTGTACTACTTTTGTCCTCAGAGTTTTCTGACTCCACTTTTTCCTCCTCAGGTACCAGTATAGACTCAAAGTCAGCGTATATCACAAATGGTACAGGCATTGAGTTCCTGTGATTTTTGAACTTGATTTTAGTACCTTCATTGGGGAGCTTTACAGCCTGAGTTCCATTTACCTCGATATACGTCTCCCTATGTTTTTCCAGCGACTCTTTACTCACACAACTATAAAGACAGTGTAAACAAAAGTGTTTCTTGTGTGTGTATCCACTTACGCTGAAAAGCATTCTGTTCACATCCTTTATGAGCACATAGTGGTTATTACCTTTACCGTCACCTAGGAGTAGAAGCTCCATATGCTCATCATATTTAGCCTTGGAGTTTCTTATAGGATAGAACTGCTTTTTGCCCTTGTAACCGAACACTGATATGTTGATACTGTTTTTCCTCTCAATCTTGTCAATGTCACATATCTTCACAGGGAAGTCTATACCGCTATAATCCAGGTTGTCTACAAACTCCCTATCTTTTCGTGTGATAGTGGTTGCTCTTCTGGCCTTAGGATTCAGATGTCTCACATGACTCCACAGGAAACACATATTGTCATTGTTCTTCATATTGATGAGTCCACACTTTGGATTACTAATGTCCCCAGGTAGTTTCATATATGAACTACCCTTCAGAGGTCTGTACATTGCAATGTTCACGTAATGGCTCTCAATATTGAGAATAATCCAGTTTGAACCTAAGTTTTGAAAGGTTTCAATTCTAGACAAAATTGTTAGTTGGTTTTGAGCAGCTGTACTTTCAATATCCTCGAAGTTAGTTGCAGTGCCAGTTTTAGACTTGAAGTAGATTGAGTCCTTCTTTGTTTTACCGTTACCTATCTCCTTCGACATTCTCACCTTTATTGTCTCCGTGTACTTCAACCCTCCCATTCTCTTCAATTCGTTCACAAGTATTCCTCTCGCTACCTGTCTACTTGCAGTTAACTGATTCAGGGGGTCCATATAATGAGGAGTTATTGAGTAAGTTACAGCAGCTCCATTTGCGGCTGTTTCAATTTTTCTGTGGAATGGCTTTTCAAGGTAAGTTCCAAATGGGTCTATTTCGTGTTTTTCTGGTGTAACCACTATAGGCTGTTCCTTAACTTCCTTCGACACTCTTACAGGCTTACGAACCTTAGGAGGAGGAGCCGCTGGTTTCCTAGTTCTGGGTTTCGGTACAGGTCTTTCCTTGGGAAGTACCGTTCTGGGTTTCGGTACAGGTCTTTCCTTAGGAGGAAGTCTAGTTCTGGGTTTAGGTGTCGGTCTCCATGGAGCTACACCCTTAGGCACTTCGGGAGCTTTCCTTGTGGGTTTCTTATTAAGATCCACACTGATCGTAAACTTACCTGGACCTGTTGGAGTTATAATACTGTTTGCAGGCACCGAGAGTTTTATCCTATTTTGACTCAGGAATCTTTCCGCGACAGTTTGCCTTCTAACCTTAGGCTTTTGTTGTATAACATCAACCTTAGGCTTTGGTGGTCTACCTCTCTTTTTAGGAACCTTAACTTCACCATCAACCTTAGGCTTTGGTGGTCTACCTCCGGGACGCTTAGGATTGCTCTCATTTTCGATTCTCCTAATTTCCGCATTCACCTGAGGATCTTCTGTGCGCCATCTACCTCCCATTGTTGGTGGTAACCCCTTAACTCCCCTTGCTAGTAGACTTTGGTATGCCTCCTCTACAAGTAAGGCCTTAGCCTTTTGTCTTTCGGAGTACTTCCATGTTGGCATAATCCCTCTTTTACCTTTATAGTTCAAGGGAAGACGTCTAGGTTTCTTTACCTCCATATCACGGTCAACTTCATCTACGAATTGTCTTTCTCCTTCAAAGGGATTTTTGCCCTTATCATCAGGTGCAATCCTATAGGTTTTGTCCTCCATGATGTTCTCTACTCTTTCATCAATCTCGTTATCACTGTCTATGATACTGTTGAGAGCCATAAGCTGTTCTACGCTGAATTCGTTCATGTCAAAATAACTCGCCATATTTTTCAACTGTTCCTCTATACTATATATGTAAAAATAAATTTGGCTATTTAATTGTTAATTTATTTAGATTTTATTTTTAATTTATTCTTTAGATTAATTTATTATATTAATATTTCTTTAAGTCTTTTATTTAATTTATTATATTAATATTTCTTTAAGTCTTTTATTTAATTTATTATATTGATATTTCTTTAAGTATTTTAATTAATTTATTATATTAATATTTCTTTAAGTATTTTATTTAGTTTATTGTATTAATATTTCTTTAAGTATTTTAATTTATTATATTAGTATTTCTTTAAGTGTTTTTACTTTTCCAGTTATCATAATATTTACACTTCTCAGGTTTCCATCCAAGCTCAACAAAAACTTTCCCATACAATCTGTCCTCAAGGATGTCCACTATCCTTTGAGTCTTAATATCCTCAGGAGGGTTTCTTAAGGTGATACCATTCATGCTGGCTATCCTCAGCAGGTAAAACTTGTATCTAACTATATTGCGCCCCCTTTGCAGTCTAAGTCTTTGTATACATCTTACGATGCTTCTAAACTGCTCCCTTATTATATCCCTATCCCTAGAAGCAACATGTTCGAACAAGTGTCTCTCAAACCAACGGACTCTATTATGACAAGACTTCTTTTTCAGGTAGTCATCCTTGTTGTGGTTGTAACTAACGTAGTATGTGAAGTTATTCATATCACTTGTACCACACTGTGTGCATGTATCTGCTCCATCTATCATTACAATAGACTTACTTCCACATTCACTACATATTGGATCATACGTGTGTTTTATCTTTATTCTACTCTCTGCGTGCTTCCTCACAGCAGCCTCTAACTCGTCCAGTGTATTTACCCTTTACCTACATGTGCTATCTCCTCAGGTGTTGCCATCTGTAACCATTCCATTTCCCTATACTATATATGTGAAAATTTTTGTGGCATTTTTTATAGCATTAAATAAGCTGCCCCTCCAACCACCCCACCTGTAATTAAACCAAAGATTGTCATATATTCTTCCATTTCAGAGCTAGGTTTGTAGTGATTACTTAATTGTGCCATTCTTGGCATGGGCTTATGTGTTAACTCATTGATTCTTCTAACGAGTTCCAGCGACTTATTCGTTGAATTAATATCCTTATTTGCCTCAGCTAGTTCTGACTTTAGTTGGGCAATTCTATTTCTTCTATCAGTAACTTCCTCAAGGTACTTCTCTCTTTCAGCTGTTAGGTTCTCCATTGCAAGGTTATGTCTCTTAGCTTCCTCAGCGTATCCATTCTTGTCAAACATCTTAAATAAGTATCCTGCTCCCGCAAATGCAAATGCGTTAAAAAGTCCTTCTGCTACTGCTCCCGCCATTATATAGTCTTACCTAGGTTTTGAATGGATCATCTGGTAGATACTTCTTTTCTTTCAAGTAAGAGACCAGTAGAGATGAAAGACTAACTGAAATAGCTAACTTTACCATTCCTTTTACATTATCTGGGGTACCTAACGGTTCTTTCAATAGTTTTTTCGATGCCATTGATATACCAACTGCTCCTGCTGTAAGTAACACTGCGTTGTACACTTCCATTGTCATCTTTGATTCTTTACCCATCTTGCTATAATATATGGTATGTTTAATGTATCATTCAAGTGAATCTAACTTGGACTCATCAGCTTTCCTAGTTACTTCTACAGTTTCAGGGATGTACTTAGGTTCTAGTTCCTTAGTTTCCCTCTGATGCGACTTATATGCTAGCACAAGAGATATCAATGCAATGGCCACTCCTATGTAGGTAATCATACTGTCATTACTAGATGACTCCCCAGGTTCAGCCAGTTTCTTTTTTCTCTCCTTTGCTATTTTACTGATTGCAGCTAATCGTTTTCCTGCAGCTACTCTTCTTGGGTCCTTCTTCTTTTCGCTTGTTACTGGTACTTGAATTTGCTTAGGTTTATCTTCCATTCTACTTGTAAGATACCTTAGGTTTAACTGGGTTTCGTCTTATGAGATATCTTGAATTCTACTTGTAAGATAACTTAAATTTACTTGTAAGATGTCTCAATTCTACTTGTAAGATAACTTAAATCTACTGGTGAGATAACTGGTGAGATAACTTGAATCTACTGGTGAGATGTCTCAAATTTACTTGGTAGTAAACTAGTACTTGTGTGATTTGAACTTTGGTCTGTACAGCTTTACATCGCAAACTGTATTTTTCGCTGCAACTTTCCTTACCCTTTTCTCGAGTGAGAAGTACTCGTTAATTCTAATACAAGTTTTCACTAGGTCGTCCGATATCATTGTTGCGTATCCTATTTTCCTCAGTCTTTCAAGCCATAATGCTTGCTTCTCACTTGTAATCCCGGTGCCCTTAGGAGACTTAAATTCAATGGCAAATCCTTTATACTTTCCCATAGGATTCTCTATAATAAGATCAGGCTGGCCACCTTTATATCCCTTCTTCCAGGCATCACATCTCTTTTGCACAGTGTCCTGGTACTCACCTAAGCCAGGTACTATTACAGCCTCTAGGTGGTTATCTCTAATGTAACTCACAACTATATTATGAAGGTCCGTTTCGTTTATAAGAATCATTTGGTTATATCTAAGTGACCTTCTATCTGGTAACTCATATGAGCCCGTTTTGCGTATAGATGGAAGGACTTCCCTGAATACCCAATCCTGAAACGCTTCCGCTATTGGGAGTCTTGAGTTGAATATTAGTTGATACAAACCAGGTTCGTACAGTAGAATTGTCTGTGGGTGATCACTTTCGAAGGGGGGCGAATCGCCCCCCTTGCGTAGCTCGTATACGCTTACCTTATTTTGTTTCCTGACTAGTTTCCTAACTGCTTTTCCCGGATCTGCGTACCCCAGAGACTCCGCCACATACTTTGCGTAAAACAGTACGTCCTCACCTTTCTTAATGAATCTTACACTAACATTCAACTTCTGGTTTCTGAATAGTTTTTCCATCTTTCCCTATACTATATATGCAAAAATTTTTATGGCTATTTTATTTTGATTTATGAAGCAGAATTCCCTCGTCCCACCCAACTGCTTACCGCTTTTGTGTACCTCCTATTGCAAATAAAATATTACATTTCATGTAGTTTCTTGTATACTTTTACAACTGTTTTAATTGTATCGGCTTTAAATGTTTGAAAGTCGTGTTGTAGTGGTCCTATGATTTTATCCTTGAGCGTGTATAGATCTCTCTCTAGTGAATCCAGTGTTTTTTGGATCTTATCTAGCTTTTCCTTGTTCCTGTCAGCTTTTTCAATCAATTCGTTAATTATGTCTTCGAACTCTGTTCCTTCCCAAGCGTTTCCCCACTCATGTGGTTCTCCGTAGTGTGACATTCTGTATTTAATAAGATATGTTTAGCTTCCTCAGATATTTCCTCAGACTCCTCCTTCTTATTCCACTTATGGGCAACTACATGTTTGGCTGTTGTACAGCCACCAGATATGAGCCCTATGAATGGGATGTTGGGGGATATCGTTCTGGTTAGATATGCTACGTCGTCCTTTAGAAGTTTGTCACTAAGTAGTTCCTCTGACAGTTTTTCTGAAGATTCCACTGCACCAAAACTTCCTAATACAGAAGCAAACTTTGAAATAATAAGTGTTGATAAGAAGTCACTTGCACATGACATCCTCTGACTTTACTTCTCTCACAGCCTCAAATATTTCTTCATCAGATTCAGTTCCCATCATCTATATTTCACGCGGTGTTTAGTTTAACAGTGTATGTCTAAGGGTGAATAAGTAGTACGTCCAGTGCGGTGAACTTCTCATCTTTTAATATCTTCGTAATCTCTGTAATTGTCTCCTGGGGAACACCACTTAGGTAATCATCTGTTATCACCTTCATATCCCTGCGACTAGGGTTGTAAAATGTAACTAGCCTGGAAATGTTCTCCCTGAATGGTTTTGCTACT